CCTGCTGATTCTTTTGGAGCCAGCTTTAATTGCATGCAAAACATTAGTGCTGCTAAATGGAGACCTGCCCCTCTGGTGGGCACCTTGCAGAGCTGTGATGGGCAGCTCGTCCCTCCAGGCTGCAGGGGGAACAGCCCCTCGAGGACACAGCAGCTTCCTCACCACTGCCCAGATCCCTCCTTCAGGGGACACATGGACTGCTTTGCAGTTTGCCTTTACTTCTGCATAATTGTTTTGAGGGTTTGGTGATGTCTTTTGTTTCCAAAGAGGCCACAGTTACACACATGCTTAGTAAGTGTTTTCCTGAGAAAATGTTGTCATAAAAGCTGGAGGTTTTTTCCCAGTGGATTCGAGGAGAGGGGCAAGGCAGGGTCCTGCCAGATGGAGCTGGGCTGTGGCTCACTCAGCTCCTCTAAAATATCTAAGTCCTTTGGCAGGGTTTGAATTGAGCTAATGGTGGGAAGGATTCAGTTTTATATGTAAACATACTTAAATCCAGTTTACTAGGCTAGATTTTCAGTCTGGATGGGAAAGGGAGACGTGCAGTCCTTTCTGTGAGAATATTAGAGACTCTGCAGCAGTTTCACTGAAGAGCAGGGATTTTGGATTTGCAGACTTTGCCAAAACTCCACCATCTTCCCAGGGCTGGGCAATGTGCCACATTCAGCACTCATTTGTGTTGCAATACTTAAATATCAATGGTTTATTTGATGGCTACTAGCTCGAGAGTTGCATTGGTTATTAAAGATTTATTGCACTTGCAGTAAATCAGTGTGGTACTTTTATTTTATAGGAACACTGTTGAATTGCTTTTTTTTTTTTCTGAAACCACTGAATTCATGATCCCTTCATAGGTTCAACTGATGTGGGGATTTTGTTTTGAGGCATAATAAAGCAGGTTTTGCAATTCTTAATTGCTTTTTGCACTGAATTTTCTTCCTCCTGATGTGCCTTAAAAGTTTTGTCACTCTTACATTAACTTCCTGACCCATCTTATAATTCAGAGCTCTTCTGAGTGAGTTTGTAGGTGGTTGAATCACAGGTTTTTTTATTTCATTTTTGAATTATTTTTATAGCAAGTAAACAATAACCTTTGTGAGAGAATAACCCCATCTGGTGCACTGATATATAAAAAGCTGCCACATTATTTGGATCCTAAATTTGTGACCTATCAGTTGGGTAGGGGTTGGATCTGACAGCAGCTGATGGTGAGGAGCTGCCCTCCTCACACAGGCACCAATTTAGAGGCAGGGTGTTACCAACTCCCTGACAGCTAATGCACCCTCCTGTTACATAAATGTTATTAATATATATACACACACACAGCTCCGAGTTCTCAGAGTTTTTAAGAGCTGTTCACTTGCTGAAAGAATACAGAAAATCTGGGTTTTTTTCTTCAATGATGCTGCTGTCGTTTAAAAGAAGAGGAAACCTGGTAGTGTTTTCTGCAGAGGTTGGGAGCACATAACAGGCTCTCCAGCAATAATCTTCCTAGGAGTTCTGTGCTTCCACCATTGGTTTTTCAAATTCTTTATGAATGTCTGGAGGCTGAGCCACCCCATGGCACTGCATATTGATGTCTTGTCACCCTGCCTGCTGGGGACTATGTATTATAAGATCCTCTGCCCAAACCAGCATGAGAGATGAACTGGAGAATTTTGGCACATTTTAGATTCTAATAAAAATTGATTCCTTAAAAGACCCCAAAGCACATACACTGTAATAATTATATTTATTATTGTCTAGGTCAGCATTAGCGTCTGTCTTCGTTAGCACTGATCTCATAATATCTGCAACTGATTTTAAAAGGGAACATATACAAATATTCTGGCCATTTGACCAACTTTTAGTACCCAATACTTACAAAGTGATCTCAAATAATTTTTTGCATTTGGGAGGCATTTTTAATGTCTCAAAAAATGTGGTTCTCTCTCACAGGTAGCTGTGACTCACTGGGAAAGGAACTGAGTAAACTTCTCCTGCTAACAATTCAGCTTTGTTATAGGGACAGAAACATATATTTACTCATTCCCCTAACTAAATGTATTTGTTGGTATCACAAGAAGTTATAAATCCATAAATGCACCTGGCTTGCAGTTCTGACCTACACAGTCTTGTGGAAAAGGTTCCAGTTTTCTAATCAGCTCTCTTCAATTCCTCAAAATTCTGCCTGAATTTCTTCTCGTTATGTAAAACATCAGTTGTTCTCTGCCAGCCCACTCTCTCTTATTTAGATATTTATTTAAAGTATCAATACCTAAGAACCAGTTCTGTATTTGCTTGTCTTTGTGCTATTCCTGGGAAAGTGGGCGTCCCAGTTTCAGGCACAGTTTCTGGACGGAAACTGCTGGGTTCTAAGTACAGCCATAGGACATCTAAGCATAAGCATCTAGGCATCAGGTGGTCTGCATTTGCTGCTGAAGAAACATTTAATATTCTTCATTAACCAGGAGGAGGACAATGGAACACCTTTTCCTTATGACAAGTAGACACCTCTTTCTGGTTTTAAGAAGGAAAACCTGGGCAAGGTTGGATTTGTTAGAAACTTCAGTATATGTTTCTCTTTGCTCTCCTTCAATCTGTTTGCTTTTTCAGTCCTCATCAAAAGGCTGATCTTGACAAAATGTTAGGAAATTTGACTTGTACCTGCTGGTTTGCTCAGTACAGAGGTGCTTATTGTGCTTAATAGTTATGGCAGGAAACTGGCAAGAAGTATTCTAGGGTTTTGTCCCAGTTACTCTCCAGGTGATGTTGAACTGTATCTCACTTCAGCCATCTATCAATTAGAGGAACATCCAGTGTTGAGTGCTGAGGTTAATTATCTGACAACCATAAAGCAATATGAGGTTGCTTGCTATCATTACAGCTGTAGCAGAATTCAGTCACAGGAAGTTGATTTATTTTCTTGGAGTTATTTTTAATTTACCTTTTTCTGTTTCAGCCACACACAAGAGATCCTGCATTTGGTGGGGAGGGGAAACCTGTTCTTTCTATCTGCCCTCTTACAGAAACCTGACCTGTCTCATTAAAAACAGGGAGCCTTTAAAGAGATGGAGCACTTAGATGATAATTCTTTACTAGCACTGGTTAGCACAAGTACCATCATGCTGTTTCCTCAAGAAACAAAGTGCCACATCACTTGAAAAAAGATGTCTAAGGGTGCTAATTATGCATACAAAAGTACAAATAGGCCAGATATCTTAAAGCAAGGAGTGAGGTAATGGCTTCTTTGACAGCCTGTATTTAGTGTATGTTGCATCTTTCCTCCCCAGTTCATCTGTGAGCTTCTCTTTCTCTTGTATTTCAAGGACTTTTTTGGTGGTTGCTGAAAAAAAAAGAAGTAAGTCTTACACCCACTGCCAGGTCCTCCTGCTCTCAGGGCTTTTTTTACAGGCTGGGCAGCATCTGTCAAGATTAATCAGTGATGGTTTTCTCCAGGGAGCTCTCCAGAGCTGAGCCTCAGAGGCTCCAGACCCACCCAGCCAGTTTCTCCAAATTTCACACTGAGCATCTCCAGGTAGAATTTAAATACAAAGGATCAGTCTCAAGATACCATGTTAAAATTAAGTCATTTTGTTCAAGGAATTTTAATGAAAAGCTTCCTAGTGTATAATTCTGGGAAACTGTAGAATATGTAGAGAGTTCTGCTCCTCCTTTATACCAAACTACAGAATAGAAATAAAAAATTCAAAGTGGATTTTGAAGCACTAGAAGTCTCATGTGCCCAACTCAGCAGTGTGGGTGCAGGTGCCATGCACAAGAAGACAAAAAAAAACCCCAAACAAAATAACACCAAAAATGGGAAAAGAGACAGAGCAGTTTGCATTGAAGGCTGTCACCTCATCCTGTGCTCACCTCCTGGTTCTTAGTCTCTTTGGGATTGGAAATATTTAACTAAAGTAAGTTATTGCATCTTGATGTTATTTCTCACAAGTATTAGAAGATCACTTTCAGTGTGCTCAATTCTAATGTTGAGTGGGTTGTTTTTTTTTCATGGCTTGAAAACAGGAATGGTTTTCCAGCTGACAATTGGGTGTGGAGACCTTCAAATGGCAAACTCAGAGGAAATGAGAGTGGAGACAATTTCTCTGGTTTGAAAGCTCTGCAAGAAAGACTCTTGTTTCTGTTCTATTCTTTTAAAACATGGTTTGTTGTGGTTTTTTTCTGGTACAATTATTTGAGTAATATAGTTATTTAATAGATTTATATTTTATTTCAAAATTTAAACTCATAAGCATTCTCTGTCTCTCATTTTAAAAATACAAATTTAAGAAAAATAACTTAATCAGTATCAACTGTTGGTTCAAGTTAATGTGATTCCTTTCCAGCATGATCTGATTTCTATAATTAATTTACATCAGGAGGGTATCTGTTCTGCATCAGAATTATCTGGACACGTAAACCAGTGTGTTCCAAATAAGAAGCCTGCATTCCTGTACTCTGCCTCCTTTCTACAGCTACTTTGGATATAAAGCTCTAGTTATAGCTGGTATTTCTCTCTTCCAACTTGTTCTACCACTTCTATTGCTCCCTCCTTAAACAAGCAGAGCAGGTCAAACTTTTGGAATTTTATGTTTTCTGTGGCAGTGGCTGCTTTTTTCCCCTCCAAACAAGTGTCCCCTCTACAGCTTGAGTCTAATGACACAAGAACTGAGTAGCAGATCTGCACTAGAGCACCACTGAGCAGCTGCACCGTGGGGAAGAACTCACCGTTATGAGCACTAAAACCCTCTCTCCATGGTGTAAAATACCAGCCTAGAGCAAGTTACACCAACTTGCAGATGTACCTGGTGTACAGGAAGGGGATCAGAACCATTACAGGGTTTGTAAATCCCCTCCAGTGCCATGTTGCAAGGGGGTTATTGTCGACACCAGAAGCTTTCATCTCACTGGCCTGAAGCCCAACAACACCTGTCCTGGGCTTTCTATTCCTTGTCCATCCCTTTCTGTCTCCCAGCAGCAGAGGTGCAGAGCTGCCAGCCCCCACAGCCCTGCCTTCATTTCTAAATGGAGAACAAAGGACATTTTGAAAAGCTGTACTTCAGCTGGTTTCCAAGTCATTTGACTGTTGCTCAAAAACCGTCCTCTCCTTATTCTATAAATAATGAGGATAAAGAGCACATTATAAAATATCCTTGGTGCTTGGATGCCTTTCAGCTTCCATGCTGGGAAATAACAGGTTGAAATCCTGGGAAGGTCTACAATTTTTCACTGCAATATGAAAATGCCATATAAATCTGGAGGACAAGGGAGAGATTGCCTTGAGCAAACAGTAAATATCTGCTGCTGGAGATCATGACAAATTTGGGAGGGTTGTTTTTTTTTTGCATTAGCTCTGATTCAGTTCTTAAGTGAATCTAAAGTTCAAATTTTTGTGGAAATGTTTTCCATCAAGAAATATTAGGTGACTTAGAGGTTGATCTTTCCTAAATTTCCTTTCAGATTTCATTTCTCCAGTTAGGTAGATAAATTTAAAAAGACCTTCCACTGCTGAAGCTATTAAAGCAGTAGCTGAGGGCTCTGACAATCTCAGATAATCTCTAATGACTCATTCTTGAACATCGTTTCTTCATACCCTGGGAACTGTGTCACCCTCAAAGCTTCTGGAGATTTTCCTTCCAGAAACAGTTATAATCTTAAAATATGAGTCTCACAAAGGAAATCCCAAATGAAAACTCTTCTCTGTCCAAAGCAAACCCAGAGGATTACTGGTCCTAGTAGGTTTTCAGATGCCCAGTTATGAGCTCTCAATTCACCATTTCCAGCTCCATCATTGCAGTTCATCACAGCATGACTGGTTTGGGTGCAACAGGGTTTCACAGCACGAAGAGAAGACACCTCCTCTTCTGAGGCTCAGCAGAAGCTGATGGCTGAATGCCATTAACACAGAATAAAACCTTACACATCTTATAAATGTGACATGGGCAGTAAGCAGGTGCTCCACAGGAGGGAGGAGGTGCTCTTCTTCCTCATCCATTGGAGAATTCCACTCCCTTGCAGTGATTTCTGAACTGCTGCACCAAACCCACTCGTGGGCTTGGTGAGCTTGTGGAAACTCAGCCAGTCTGACCCTTGGGCCCCCAGTTAAAGCCTTTGGCCTGTCCTGGGGGAAGGGCCCCCGTGCAGGTTGCTGGATCTTCTTGTCTCTCTGTCTTTGGGGATCAACAGCAACACAAGATGTATTAACTCAGTTTATACCTTCTTTTGATGTTGTAAAAATAGAAGCTACATTAACATTTTTGTGAAGCTGAAGTTAAACTTGTCTTCTCTTTCACTTTCGTGGCTGTCATGACATTATGCTCACAGTGATTCCATCTGACAACTACTGAACCATGAAACCAAGGGCAGTTTATTGATAGATACCTTCCAGTGAGGGGCTGTATCAGATCACCTGTCTGCTGGGATCTATTGTCACCTGGCTTTTGCCCTTATAGCATTTGGCTGATGGTCCTGTAGTTTTATAACCTAAAACTGGTGAGGAATGAAAAGCACAAAGAATTGCTGCCCAGTTAAAAATTTATAGTGATGGATTTGGATAATTTAATCATCCCATTGCAGTGAAAGAGCTGCCTGGAAGCTGCGTGTCGTTTGTGTGCTCTGCTCTCCTGTCATTTCTCTCTACCTTTTATTCTTAGAAACCTCACTAAGTGCCACCTTTCTTTACAGCAAGCAGCTCCTTCCATGCCGAGTCTGACAAGTGGGTTTCATGTCTTATTGGCTTTATTTTTTGACATGTTTCAACAAGTCTGCTTTGACATATTATTGCTTTCTAAATGGTAATTTGTAATTCTCTACCAATGACTGTGTTTTATGTTGACAGTGCGAGAAGCAAAGAACCTCATTCCCATGGATCCAAATGGACTTTCAGATCCTTATGTGAAACTGAAGCTCATCCCAGATCCCAAGAATGAAAGTAAACAGAAAACAAAAACCATCCGTTCTACTCTGAATCCAGACTGGAACGAGTCGTTCACCTTGTGAGTTTTGACACCTTTTCATGTGGTATCTTTGTATGTACTGAAGCATTTGGTTGGCATTGAAAACACTTTCATTTCTCTCCTTTCCAGCAAGTTAAAGCCCACGGACAGAGATCGCCGGTTATCGGTAGAGGTCTGGGACTGGGATCGAACAACCAGAAATGATTTCATGGGATCTCTCTCCTTTGGGGTGTCAGAGCTTATGAAAATGCCAGCCAGTGGATGGTAAGAGTTTCTGAAGAGAGAGGAGAGACTAGCTCACAAAAAAATTAAACCTAGTATTTTTCTTCAGTATAATTCACCTTTTTTTGGAGCCTTTCACTGAATCTTGGGCTATAAATTCACTGAAAATGCAACTGAGCCTGGGAAAAGTAGGCTGGATGTAACAAAGGAGAATAAAAGGAATGCTTTTCTTTTGTGGTGTTCATGAAACTTCTGCTGGAGCCAGGAGCTTCTTGCTGCAAACTCAATTCTGTGTACAGAGTCTTATGATACGAATTTTATTTTTATCTCAAATATGATATATTCATTACTAAGTGTATCCAGTTATATATAGCTCTGCAAAATCAAAGTACATGGGAACTGATTTTATAAAACGCTGTCTTATTATCTCCCAAGCCAGGGTGAGAACTCATCACATCATCTCAAAATCACAGACTTGTTCAGGCCTATAGAAGCACTGGAGACAAAGGTTCTTCAGGGTTCATGTCTCCCATCATAGCACAGGATGGGTGGAAATTATTTCCTTGTCCGTTATATTGCCTTGGCAGATAGTTTGGGATTAAAGCTCTCATTTTAGGTGGAACACACTCTGTTTTTGAGTTTGCTTTAGATCTTTGAAAGCAGTTCTTTACATACCTGTGACGTTGATACAAACCACACACAAACTACTAAGTCAATACAACTGTAGAGTCACCATTTTTTTCCTCAAATGCTCCACAGGTACAAGCTGCTGAATCAAGAAGAAGGTGAATATTATAATGTTCCAATTCCAGATGCTGGTGAAGATGGAAATGCAGAGCTACGGCAGAAGTTTGAGGTGAGAGTCAAACACAAATGGGTGCAAGTGTAGATTGCATACATTTTTCAATTTAATACCAAAAATACCCCTCAAACCTGTAAAAATATATATATATTAGAGTGCTACTATTTCTGTTGCCTGTGACAGCAACATGAGTCTTGAGGTTTCTTGAAGATCAGACCAAGTGGCTTCTTTCAGCAGTGGTATCAGTTTTCAGTTCAGCTTCTTTGACACTTCTAAGTTGCTCTTTTACAAGATTTTATGTCAAGTACATGTAACAATTTCAATGTCTTTTAATACTTGCAGCAAAATCTGCCAGCCAATATCACTAGTGTCTACATTATTTGACAAATGAAATTCTGAGAAACAATATTATTTTAATACTTAGAATGCTTGACATTTTTGAAGAAAGTATTGATGGTGTTAATTACTGATTGTTTGGAACCTCAAAGTCTTTGTAGAGGGTTGTAGTCTGAAGCTCTAGTGTCTTTAACATGGGTGTGGAAGTTTTTAAGGGTAAGAGGTATTGCTGGTGGTCTTCAGAAAAGAAATGCTGAAGAAAAGGGATGCTTCCTGCAGTCTTCCTGCCTTCTGTGGTGCCCACTGGAGTGGTGAGGGTTGGCAGGCATGGGCTGACTGTGCTGTGCAAAGGGCTGTTCCTCAGGGAGCAGACTGGGGCAGCAGCCCTGTCTCTTCTGGGAACTGCAGCTGATCTTGCAGCCAAATGCTTGCTGGACACTAAACCCAGCCACAGGACAGGTATGGTTTGGTTTGGTTTGGGAGGTGTTTTGCTGTACTGGATTCAGCTCCTCTGCCTTGACCACTCTTCCCATCTGCACACACAATATTGAGCTGGGATTATTCCAACACACAGTTTTGTTTTCTTGTTTTTCAGGTTGAACGTTTACAAGTTTAGCTCTTTATCCTGAAAGTAATTAATGTACCTGTTGTGCATAAACAAACACACCTGTTGCTTTCAACCTGAAATGGCAATTTTTTATGTTCACCATCAAGCAGAATTCTACATTGTTATTATAAAAGATGGGTTAACCCAAGAAATTGAGGAAAACCAGTGCTTGTTCAAGTTTCAAGAAAGAAAAAGAAAAGGTGCATCGATTTCTTCTGAACACATTTGGATCAGCTACCATACTTTTGTCTGCAGCATGAGCTGTGATTTTTGTTACACATTTGGGAAGTATTTGAATCTCCATTCCATTTTCCTTTCCTTATAATTGTGATCTGACCAGTGGGATTTTATTTTGCTGCACTAGGACATTTTCTATCCAGGATCATAGTTATTTTCTATCCTCTAGAAAGAATAGCTTCACAAGTAATTATTTTTACTCCTCATGTCTCTCTGCAAAAAATACAGAGCCTGGAATTGAATGGATATGTGTATGTTGGTGATATGGGTATAGAAATCTACCTAGCTTTTCTCAGGGCAGAGACAGCACAATGACTAAAATTGTCTATTTTTAAATGTCAGGTATTATATGCTGCATTTTTGCATATTGAATTTGCAGTCTCTCAGGATTTTTGTTAAGCCCACTGTAAATGTGTTGGTTGCAGAATGAACAGTCAGGGTTTGTCTGTGTCCTGCAATGAAGTGAACTAGAAATCCTGAGAGGCTGCATTGAGTGAAGCTTCTGGGCTGGGTTCCAAAAACGGCAGCTTCCCAAGGGTCAGCTCTGCCTCAGAAACAGTCTGTCTCAAACCCTAATTAGTTCAGCTCCAGCCCAAGGTATTTGAGGCTTTCCCTGCTCTGGAGGTACCTTGTGGGTGCTCCTTTGGCATCAACTCTCTCAAAGTTTACCTCTGTGAGAAGGGGCAGGGAAGCAGCACCCTCCAAGTAATGTGTCAAGGGGAATTACTGTGATGACACATAAAAAATAACAGCACAGATGTCTGAATGGTGGTATTTATCTTATTAGCTATTCTGGTCTGGCACGTAAGTGGTGCTGACACTGGTAATCTCTTTATGTTCTTTTTCTTCTCATTTATATCTTGGCTTACATCCTCATTTTATTTTAGATGCCCTAAACTAAGAAGCAAGTAGATAGCACTGAGAAATAGGCTGCTATTTGTGATTTAATGACATCATCTAAATAATATTTCCACTGTGCTGAAATCAGCTTTGAAACCTTACAGGGAGAAGATGCAAACCTTGACTGCCATTTTGCTAGGGGAGTGTGTTTGTCAGGAAGGTTAAAAATGCAGGTAGACTGAGAGGACCTACTGGGCATCTCCTCATTTATCAGCTTATAGAAAATAGTAACTTCAGAGCACTTGCTAATCAAGTCTACATTTGTGGGACTGGGTTTACTTACAAGCTACAGTGACTTAATTTTGCTTACAAGATTACAACCATTTCTAGCAAGGTTTTACATTACTTATATCAAATGAATACTGGTGGTAATCAGAGGAAAGGGTGATTACAAAGCAGGCCATGCAACAATAGAGAAACATCAGGATGAGAATTTCTTAATTGCTTAATGTTAAGAAAGAATAAGACTATTCTCAGGGCATAAAAGACCAAAGAAGCAGTAGGTTTGGAATTTCCAAAACCAGTTTCTCGCCTTAAAAAATAAATACATCTGAAAACATTTCTGTCATTATTAATCACACAAATCTCACCAGTTTGATGCTTTACTTTCTGGACCTTCTAAAATAGATTCCTTAAGTCATTTATTCAATGTAAATCTATCATAAAACAAATATAGAACAATAAAAATATGTAAATAAAGAATCGATTCAGACATTCTCTTCACTTACATTTGTAACTGAACAGTAAAAACTATTTGTCATGAGAAGAAGTTTCCCTGTGGCCCATTCTGCCAGGTCTAACCCAACTGCAAATTTAACTCCTGACTCATGCCTGGGAGTTTTAAATCCTGTGCAACAAATGGGACCAAATTGGAAAAGAGAGGGAAGAGCTGGGGAGGTGGCTCCATGGAGGGAATCATGCAGTGATCTGGCTAAGTAGTTTTAGATGTTGCTACAAGGAGTTTTCTTTCCATATACTGCCCGTGTGTGATCTATATGAGGTTGTACAGATATAGAAATGGAGGTGGATTATGCAGTGGTGCAGTGCAGGATTTTCTATACCATCAATTTTAATCCATTTACATCTTTTCTGGATCTCATCTATAACTAAAATCTACGAATCAATTATCTGCTCATTTAGCAGTGTGAGCAAATCCAGCTTCTGTGATTTATAGATGATAAATTATTTTTTAATGTTTAGAGATAAAAATATACTTCTGTAGGAAGTGGAGGCAGGATAAAATCTGTCATTGTTTTTCATTTGGTTTTAGCCTTTGGTAGTGAATTTTCCCTCCAGAATAGCATTATTTATGGCCATTTCAAAATGAAACTCCCTTCTCAACAGGCATATTCAGAATAATTGTAGCTGCTCCATAATTGTCCGTGCTGAGGTTGCCATGGGAACTCCCAACAGTCCCAGGTGGCTCCATGGACCCAAACTGCAAGTCTTTTAACTGCAAAATCTGCTATTTGTTACATAGTTATTTTCCTGTTATATTATTGTGTTAGTCAAAGAAAAAAAAGCAGAATATTGAAATAATGCAACCTTATTGTATTTTTAATACCTGGTTATGATTTGAGTAGTAATTTTCTTTCTCCATCTAGGGCATCGTTCTGGTTTTTATTTGGGGAAAAGAAATGTGCAAATTCTAAAACTTCTATTGTAGGAAGAGGTTTCAGTTTTCTCAAGCCCTGTTTCCTGCTGCTCAGGAAAGCACTTCTTGATACCTAAGATATCACCTCAGAGTAATAATGGAATAATACCAGTTTAAAAGTAAGCTGGTTAATTATTCTGTCTGTTCCCTTCCTTCCACATCACCATCATAGAAAATGTTAATAAAAATAAAGCAGCTCTTCTGGTCCATATCAATGATTTATTTTTTTTTTTAATTAAAAAAGGACAAGGTAGCTATAATCTTTACATGTGGATGCATTTACCAAGTAAAAGGTATATTAAGTTATGGGAGCAATCTGAGCCTCTGCAGTTAGTGTTGGTAGTTGAAGTGATCTCAGTAATTGTTACGAAGGGAATAGGTTACTGCTCATCTTCATTTGAAGGCATTAAGGCATTATCTTCATTTTAATCTTCATTTTAAGGCAGCTGTGGGGAAGAGATGTAACTGTCCTCCTGGTGCATACCCTGAAGATGTTAGACATTTTCTTTTGTTCTAATTATTGCCTTTAGTCTAACTCTCTGTGTGAACTTTCAGTAAAACAAAATCATTCCTGTCTGAGAGCAGGGTCTGACTGCTGTCCCCACCACGGGGCTCCATGCAGGACCATCCTGGTGGACCTTGGAAGGTGCTTCCTTGAGGACATACATCCACATCCACATCCAGTGCTGTGGCCCCTGGCATTGAATTGTGTTTATCGTAGAGATTTCAGCTGAGACATCAGGTGTGAGTGGCTTTTCCTGGCTGCTGCTTTTGTATCATGCCTTTTAATTTAGTGAATAACCACAAAATCATTCCACAATAAAATGAACATCCCTAAAACCATGTGGAGCAAGGAGGGCCAGGCAGTGTACCCAGGGCAAGTGGCCCTGCTGGCTGGATCCTATATTTCCAGGCTCCCCTTTCTGGGATTGATCCAGGTACAAGGTAAGCCATGCAGGAGCACCTCTTACTTACTATTGTCTGCCTGTCTGATGGGCTGTTTCTGCTGCCAGGAGGTGAGGTGACCCATCCCTGCTGTGCTGCCCAAGGACTGGAGCTGCTGGGTCCATGAGCTGCTGCTGCAGCTGCCTGGTGCTGGGGAAGCTCTGCAGCAGCCACACACCTCCTGTCCTCTGGCAGCCTGAGCAGATCCAAACATAAGGAAGGAAAACCCAGAGTTCAGAGCAGGGTAAATACTGTAGCTGGAGATGGGGAGTGCACAGGCAGGGGTGACATTTTGGTGACATCTCAGTGCTTCGAAACGTAACTATTGTTACAATCCTAAAGAAAATGTGTTTTAAAATGCCTTACCATTTTAAA